AATGCGCGAAGTTAACAAAGCAACAATTGAAAGATTACCATTGGGTAAAATCACCTTTATTTTTTATTACGGTTGAAATTCTTTGGGGCATAGTGTTAACCAAGTTTTGGTAAAAATTTGGTGTAAAACAATGCCATATTTCTTAAAGCTTTTGTCTCAGTTCGGTGATTGTACGAGCAGGATGTTGTCGTAGAACCTTTTTCATGTCGTGCCACAAAGTTTCAGTAGGTGACAGATCTGGACTGCTAGAAACCCATTTCAAAAGTGGTACATTATTTTCTTCCATCCATTTTATAGCCTTTTTTGAGGTATGACACGCTGCACCATCTTGCTGAAATTTTGGCCGGATGTCAAACATTCTTCCATCACTGGTAAAAGCGATTCTTCTAAAATTGCCAAACATTTGTTTGTATCCACATTTCCATTAATAAAATGACGTTTTCCTACTCCTTTTGATGACATACTGCCCCAGACCATAATGGATGCTGGAATTTCACTTTTCTCTTCAGACAGTCAACAAGGAATGCTTCATTTTTTTGCGAATAACTCTACTGCGACTGTCACCAACACAAACTTCGAATCGAGCCTCATCACTCCATTGTATTGCACACCATTGTTTAGGTGTCCATTGTCTATGTTCTTTAGCCCATCTAAGCCGATTTTTCTTTTGCGGTGGAGTTAATAGTGGCTTTTCTTTGGCCTATAAACAAGTTGTGCAACTTTAGGGTTTTTACTTCACTTTGTGGGCCTCTCTATGAGTTGTGGACCTCGAAATTCTCCTTCCAACAGCGTCACTCCACGTTATATCTTCTAACAATATTTCTCACACTGTACCGCGATAAGTCTAACAAAGTTGCAATTTCTGAGTTTGATTTCCCAGAATTAAAAAGTTTAATTATCAGTAACCGAATTTTCTCACTAATAACCTTTCCTCTACCCATTTTGAAAACCTTAACTACCCAAAACTATTTAAAACGTATTCTGATAGCTGTGATTAATAAAAACAACTGTTATGGCTTTTATTTTTCACAGCCACCTATGCATTATAGTCTTATTTTGCATTGAAATGAAAATAGGTTGATATGCTGTAATTGCAACATGTGTTATTTTTATGCTGCAAATTTAATTGGGGAGTGATAAAGTTGGTGTTTTCTACTACATATTATCAAAACATTCATTGTTAATATTTTAAACCTATAACACCCTGCGACATTTTTATTATTTGTGTTTGATAAGAAAAAAACCAAAATTTCAATAGTTGGGCCAACTGAAGTGGGAAGAGGCTCGTACAGGGTCTTCTCGATCACAAAAAATATCACATACAGAACGAATCTCATTGAAACACATATAGCTTAACATTGATTTACATCTGATGTTTGTAATACAAATGTCAGGGTAAAACAAATTCTGACAGCGACTACCTCACCCAGCGACGCCAAAATCAATTACACTTAATATTGAGGTGCAAGCATTTTGATTATTCAGTATACTTTATCTGAAGTCACTTGAAACACTGTGAAATATCGGGTGCGTTTTATATATCTATATTTAACACGCTCTGTTGCTGCAAAAATCGCCAAATTTCGCAGCAAATATCCCCCGTATAAGATCAAAGGCAGTTTCACCGGTCCACGTGGAGTAAAGCACGCCTATGCGTGGACATAGCCAATGAGAAAGCGTGTATTTCAGAGCTCCGAACAAGTGCAGGTGGCTACTGAAAATTGAAACAGTTTAGCCAGTGCCGTGTAGCTGTGAATAAACGTGTTTTCTTTAGTCTGTCCGTGTTTTTTCATAGATTTTATTAGTTTGTGTGTTTTTGACTTTTGAATACTCAGTTTACTTGTTGATTTAATTGTTGTGTTGATTGTTCTTGTGTGTCCTAAATATGGCTCTTTGGAGACCTTGGGAAAATGCTCCAAGCCACGAGGAGATGGTTGATGAACCTGTGCAGGCAGAATTCTTTCATAAAGATTTAGAGGAACAGACCCAAAGAGTAATCCTAAATATGTATGATTGTCTGAAAAACGAAAATCCAGATTCCTCGCAAAATCAAATTTTAAACCGAATTTGTATCCTGACAAAAATCAGTCGGTCTACCATTTATCGGGTTATAAAAAGGGGAGATGTAGTCAACCATTCCTTCCACAGAAAGCGCATAGGGCAAAAATTAAAAAGAATAGACGTGGGTTTTCAGGAAGATATTCGTCGTATAATATACGGATTTTATAAAGAAAATTTGGTGCCTACGTTGGAAATGATACGGGATAAATTAAAAGATTATCCTGAAGATTTTTATAATTACAAATGCTTAGACTCACTGCACTCTATTGTAAAACTGTGTGGTTTTCAATACAAAAAATTAGATAAAAGAATGGTGATTATGGAGTCGTCTCGAATCGTTGAATTGCGCCAAGGATTTTTGCACAAAGTTAAAATCTATAGAGAGCAGAAAAGAAATCTGATTTACCTGGATGAAACGTGGTATGATACCCATGATATTGTGCAGTACGGCTGGGTTGACGACAGCAACAAGTGCATTTTAAATGCACCATGCAACCGTGGAAAACGAATCATTATTCTCCATGCTGGCAGTGAAAATGGATTTATACCTAATGCCTTGCTGTTATCTGCCAAAAATATCAAAGAATCATGTGCCTACTATCATGAGGACATGACCTCCGACTTATTTGAAAAGTGGATAGAGCAGCAGTTAATACCAAACATTTCCCCAAATTCAGTGATTATTATGGACAATGCGCCGACAGAAAAACAGAATTCCGAATACAGGCACAAAAAAACAAGACATTATTGATTTTAGGAAGGATAAGGGAATGGAAATACCACAAAAATCAACCAAAGCCATACTATTGGATCTTATTAAAAGACAAAAATTTTAAAAAGAGTATGTTGTTGACAATCTGCTTCAGCAAAATGGCCATGAAGTATTACGTTTACCTCCCTATTACTGCATTTTTAACCCGATTGAGTTGGTCTGGGCTGCTTTAAAAAAAAAAGTAAGAAAACATAATCAGACCCCTCAATTAAGTGAATCGCTATTGGCCACAATAAGAGATGCAGTATCTCATATTGCTGCCACAGACCTATGGAAGCAGTGTTCTAGGCATATTATTGAAAAAGAAAATGAATATTGTGTTTTGCCTCCTGTAAATCCCGTTGTAATTCCTCTACAAGATGACTCTAGCGACAGCTCCGAAGGCGAGGATGATATATAAACACCTATAATGTAAGTCTTTATATACCTTTTTATATACCTACCTGCTATGTAAATATTTGCCTATGTCAAACGTTGGAATTCTGTAATTTTTCTATTTCTTAACTTTCAGTCAACATAAATTAAACTCCCAATATAAGTATTTTTTATCCCAAATCAAAAAAATAAGAAGATAGTAAAATCCATTTATTGTGATATAAAAACATTATTATTATCGTTCTAAATAAATGACCGCACGCCTATGATACGTCATGAAATTACAAAGGACGCGCCGACCAAAGGTTTTTATGCTATTTCAAGTGACTTCAGATAAAGTGTACTTTGTATGTAAAAAGCTTGGCACCGATAAATGACGCCCGAGTTGTAGCGACTCGACTTGAAAGATTCTCAGCAGCGCCGAATGGTCAAAACCACTTTCGAGGTAGTGACCATGCCACTTTAGATAAAAAAAAATTTGACCAAATGACAGATACATGCTCCAGCTTACTCATAAAAGTGATCTAATTATGCGATACTAGCAATTTCTGACGTAATGGTCTCATGCTTTAAATCTTGTATTCACCATATGAAGGATGTGGTCATTAAATGCCAGTGTAGCGTCGACGCGACACCCAAATCCTTGAAAGTCGAGGATTACCATCAATGTTATAATTGTCGTACAGTACTTAGATATAGTTATCTATTAAACGACATAACCTTGCATTTATAAATATTAATGTTAAACTGATTGTTAGAGCACCATAAGTAGATAAAGTTCACGCAGTTTTGCAACAGAATGCATTCATTCAGATGATTGATAACAGCGTAAAGGAGATGCATGAATGGCAAAGACAGCGATCAATCATTGATGAAGGTTATGAACAGCAAAGGCCCTGCGTTGGACCTCTGAGGCACACCAGATGATGTACTATAGGTCTTGGATTGATAGCTACCATATTTCATATGTCTTTACAGGATATATGAGTGTATGAGAAGCAGCAAAGGGTCTGACAGGCCAGCAAATTTGAGCTTAACTAATCTATTTGATGAAAGACCTTTTGAATGTCAATGTAAATGACAACAGTTACCTACGAATATAAATTAAACGATCCTCATAGATTCTAAATAAAAATAACTTCTCATAGGTAACCAGGGTAGCAAAACAACCTCCACTGTTCAGCTAGAGCAGAGTTCCCCAAAGTTTTTTGTCTCGTAGACCCCTTGCCATGTTTTTCCGTGTTGGGTAGACCCCCTACTTACCTAATATTGATTTCCTGTAAATTTCTAACTGTAGTGAAGTTTAGTGTTAAAAACTTAAAGTAAAAACACATGTTAATTTATACATTTATTAATTGAATTTAAATTAAAACTACTCAAAATAAAATTTTGTATCTGTTATGTAAAATACACGTAACATTAAATAAACAGGTGTCTGACCAATAAGTGCCCGCATTGAAAAAAAAATAAGAGGGATAAAATAAAAAAAAGTGAAAAATAATAAAAAAAAGTTTTTTAGTTAAAATAGTACAATAAGCGAGTTCGTTTATTAATTATAACATAAACGTATGTTCTACAATAATTTCACTGTTAGTTTGATTAAATAATATATAAAAAAGGGGGGTTCTTTAAAAAAATCAATGCAGGCACTTATTCCCAATGCGGGCATTTATTGGTCAGACACCAATAAACATAAAATAAACTATAAATAAAATAACATAAGCAATAAGTCAATATTTTTAGTGAGAAGGATGAACCTGGTGCTTTAATAATAAATTATCAACATTTGGCGTCAATTCTTTAAATCTCCTCGGCTAATGATGTCCAGTCTGTTTCTTTTTTTCGTTAGGAGATTGGTAACAGCGCTGAACCCCCTTTCCACTAGGTATGACGATGGAAAGGAAATTAAAAATTTCCTCGCTATATTCCATAATACGGGATAAATAACGGGTATGTTGTTTTGCAGCCAGAATTGCTGATATCCGTTTTTAAACTGAACCTTAAGTTCTTCGTTTGTACTTAGTTCAGTCAGTTCCTCTTGTATTATGACATTCGTTTCTTCTATGACATCATATGGATTAATTATCCACGGTGGTATTACCATAGTCAAAATATCCTCAAACCTAAATTCAAAATCTGAATAGAGGGCATTTAAATGTTGAACGTAAGTTGAAACGTCGTCTTCCTGGCAGCTTGTCTGTGACAAATTGGGGAACTGAGAAAATTCGCCCCGTCCAATATTGCTTCATTAGTTTAACTCTGGCAAGAAACGCTGATAAGATGAGCTTTAATTGATGAAAGTGTTCGTAATTTTCTTCACACAACTGCGCAAATAACCGCGTATTCAACGCGTTGCTTCGGATTCGGTTTACTGCGTCAATGACTAAATGAAGTGATTCATGCAATCTAACACTCAAATTTTTAGCAACTAAATGTTGTCGATGGATGACGCAATGTATTGCTAACACCCCTGACACATTTTGTTTTAAATAGCTTATAAATCCACGATAACGTCCAAACATGGCAGGTGCTCCATCTGTAGCTACTGATATTATATTTGATAAAGGAATTGCTTTTTCAATGAAGTAATCCTTCAAAACATGAAATGTTGATTCACCTTTAGTGTCGGTTATCAAAGTTCTTGCGAAGAGCAGTTCTTCGTAGATGTCTTGATTCCTAATAAAACGAACATATGCCAATAATAATGCTGCATTATCAGGTAAAGTTGACTCGTCCAGTTGTATAGAGAAATGGGTCGTTTGCAAATAATTACATAAGAAGCTTACAATATCAGAACTCATTTCATCAATACGTCTTTCAACAGTATTGTTGCTTAAGGGAATTCTTTTAATGATATCAGATGCAGGTTTGTGTAAAACAGTTTTTAAAACCTCTTCAACGGCTGGCAAAATTAACTTCTCTCCGATAGTATGCGGTTTTCCGGATTTTGCTATAAGTAACGAGATATTGTAAGACGCCCGCAAACCATCATCATCATCATCATCATTTCTTTGTGACGTCGAAGCGAACATTCTGTCCAGTGTAGGACTCTCCTGAAATTTATCTTTGAGTGTTTGAAAGTATTTCAAATCTTTCTCTGTTTTATCAGGGTGGCATCTTCTCAGATGATCTTGCAGTTTAGATGGTTTCATAGCGTCATTGCCCAAAACTTTGTTGCATAAAAGGCAGATAGGCGATTGTTTGTCCGGCAATGATGGAATGAAGCCAAATTTCAAATAATCAACACTGTACTGTCTACATTTCATTTTAGATTCGGACATGGCATCAGTCACCTGTGGGCAAAATTAAATTGTTTAAATAAGACAGAAAATCCAGCAGCTGTATATTAAAAATATTTTTTGATTTTTCCGAAAACATTCCATAATTCGATTATCTTCTTGCAACAATTAGCTCGAATTACGGAGATTGCACTGTAATTATATTACCGATTGCTAAAACTTTCAAAAAGAAACTATTGAGGAGTACTCGTGTAATTTTGCATGATTGAATATACTAATAACTAAAGTCATGTTTTTCGTAATTTATCTATCTTTGCTAACTACGAGTACAAAACTAAAATTTAATAAAAAATAATGTACTTACTTTTCTCCAGCACTCTCAAACAAAATAACACTGACTCACTATAATTTGTGTGATATACTATCTGTTTATATTTTTTAAAATATTTTCTTAGCACTTTACTTTTCAAGATTCAGGAAACGAATAAACGTATTTGTCCCACATTCGTATTTATAGAGTGACGAATTGAACAAGTCAGTGCAAGGTAGCGAAGCTCTGAGACTGCGACTCTCAGGTTTTTACAAGTTCAAAATGTATTGCGACCACAAAGCGAATACCAACATTCATTTCATGGACCCCCAAATTTTTTTTCGCTGACGTAGACCCCTTGCAGGTTGTCATAGACCCCTAGGGGTCGATATAGACAACTTTGGGAATAAATGAGCTAGAGAGAAGAAGACTGGTAGCCATTTGCTTTCCGAGGAAAGAAACCTTGACTTTCTGGTGACGGAGTAGACTCTAATGCCTTCAAAAAAGTACTTAAATTAGTAAAAAGCGCCCTCTTCATCCTGTACAATCCCCAGATAGGATCTACTCAAAAATACTCTTCACATCCTGTAGATTATATATGGTCTTACTTGGTAAAACTCTGCCATCACACTGTTCATACATATGGAGAGCTGCTACTTCTACCACACTATCTGTCTGAGCAGGATGTAGTCTTTGTTGCAAGGTCTGGGTACTAATACATAAACATCTCGAAAAAATTGTCTATATCATATTCAGCACTATTATAATTTTGAGATGCTTGTTAGTGTTTTGAGAGAATTTTTTGATTCGCTACTTTATACTACTAGTCATCACTATCAAAAGTCACATATGAGTTGATGTTCTAAATTTTTGTTTTGTCAATTAATCTTCAAACGGAACAAGTATTTACTTATAAACCAAAATAATTCTGTGAGAAGTGATTGACCATATTGGCGCCATTTTCAGGTTGACACTGCATTGTTACAGCATTTTTGTTTTGTCCATTACACATCATCAAAAATTTTAAAGTGTTCTCAAATCATTCGTAACTCACTCAAGTATCCATGATATCGCCTTTTCCATACATAAATAATTCAGTTCATAAGATCATCTTCATATCAACGGCAACAACTTCTATGATAAATTTCATTATGGATATCGTGATACCCTGAATCTTTGGCAAACATATTATGTAACGAACTTTGTACACAACATCAAGATAGCTTGTAGAACCATAGGTCACTGGTGTCGCATGTTTCAATTATATCTATCTAGGATAGTATTTGAAAAAACGTCAAACAAATTACGATCGAGATAACGGTGCACCCTATGGCTGCTTATTTTGGTATTTACCAACTTTTATTATATAGTTTATTTGGTCTAGCTCCAATATGATTGCTGAATATTTTATAGGCAAATCTCGGAGTCATTCGAAGATGATGTTGCTAGACTTGATAGCAAATCAAGTCAGCAGCTATTCAGATATCGTTAGTAAACCTCAGACGCCAGCATCCATCCGATCATTTTTTAGTATTTTGTGAAACAACTTTGCAGTCTAAAAACCCTAAGCAAAAATTCGTTAAATTCAGAGACTTTGAAAATTTTTCATATTTTATCATTTCAAAATGATGTTTTAAACTTTCCCTGGAGCATTATATATTCCGTAGAGTATTGATCACAAAAGTTCATACTTGACAGATGGTCTAAAATTAATTTTTGATAAGCATGCACCTCTAAGAATTGTACGTGTAAATAAACCGCTATCATCCCAGCTTAAACGTATGATGAAAGACAGAGACAGAGCTTTCAATCAGTTTAAAATTAATAAGACAGAAGATTCCTGGAATCGCTACAAAGAGCTCAGAAATTCAAGTACAAGTCAAATTAGATATGAAAGAGCAGCATATTTATTATTCCTCCGTCAACAAAATGATTCAAAATTGTTTTATAGATCCTTAAAATCAATGCGTAACCAACAGTGACAAAATACCGATATTCCTCTACATTTAAAGAATCCTACTGACATTAATAATTATTTCTGTTCCATTTTTAATAACGCCATTTGTTCATGCACGGAGAAGATTGAGCATTATGAAAAGAATGACTATTCTAGTGATCGATTCAAGTTTAAACCAATCGACATGACTGATTTAAAATCGATGTTCCAATCTCTGAAATCGAATGCCTTGGCGTGTCACTCAGAATGAAACTATGCTTCTTTGCGATTTCAGGTCACATTTTACACATCATAAATACCTGTTTAGAAAGAGGATTCTTTCCAGAATGATGGAAAGAAGCATTAGTGTTACCTCTAGCTTAAATAAATAAACCAAAATTATATTCTGATTTAAGACCAATTAGTATTTTACCCGTTTTGTCCAAATTATTAGAAAAAGCAATGTATGCCCAAATTCACGATTATCTCTCTGAACATAAAATTTTGCCTCCCAAACAATGCGGTTATCGAAAAGGATATAACACCGCCGGTGCCGTATTAGACTTAACCGGTAACATTGTTAGAGCCTGGAATCAACATATGATCACATCATTCGTTCTTCGTGACTTCTCTAAGGCATTCGATAGTAGAAATCATCGTCTTCTAGTAGCCAAGTGCAAATATTTTGGTTTTTCTGACTAGTGTCTCAAGGGTTCTGCACTTAGGCCACTACTATTCATTTTGTATATTTTTGATCTCCACTCAGTTGTTAAATATTGTAATATCCAATTCTTTGCCGACGATTCACAGATCTACAGTCATTTCCATAATCACGATGTTCGAAATGCTGAATCTGAGGTAAATGAAGATATAACATCTATTAGTACGTATACAAAAAATCATAACCTTCAGTTGAACCCTTTAAAATCGAAAGTCATCATTTTTTCACTAAAACTATTTCGAAGTGATGCCAAAAGAAATTTTAAAGTAAAATTAAATAGAAGTAAGTGAGTCAGTGAAAAACTTGGACGTAACTTTAGATGAATGTCTAAATTTTATTCCGCATGTAAATAATATCAGTAAGAGTTGTTTTTCAATTTTACGTCAATTATATCTTAATAACAACTACAAATTATAACTTTTTTTGGATTTTATTTTTACAATGTAATGATGCATAATGCATCTTCAAACTGGTGTCTCAACCTTACTGCCAACTTTTCTCGTTCAGGAAAAACTGCCACTTATTTCCCAACCAAGTATTCCATAGTAAAACTTTGCGCAACTTTAACTGGCTGTACTGGAAACAAATGTACTACGAGAGTTTGGCAAGTAACCTTAAAAGTTGGCGCATTTAATAAGGATTCCAAAATGGTATAACACTTAGAAGATTACTCGTTAACTTGTGCACAATTTTTATTTGAAGAAAAACTGATGAAAATTTTTCAAAATTTCTTAATTAAACAGCGATTATGAAAACGCACAAGGACCCTTAAGGATAACTGTTTGCACAACAGTGGGCGTCAAAATGCTGCTGATGATGATTTACCTTTACAGCAAATGCTCAAACTGTTTTCCTTCAGCCGCAATACACGCTCGACATCTTCTTAAAAAAGATCGGGTTATTAAACGAGCGAATCCACGGTTATTAACAAACTCAGCTGCTTCCAATAGTCTTTGCCGTAGCTCAGCTACATTTTGAATCGGCTTGGGCTTGAAATAAACTTTTTCTTTTACAGTTCCCCAGTAAAAAAAAATCTAACGGATTCAAATCTGGTGACCGGGCTGGCCACGGTATTGTACCAGACCGCCCTATTCATCTGCCTGGAATGTTTTGATTGAGATACTCTCTCACTGAGAGTGCATAGTGCGCTGGGCAGCCATCATGCTGAAACCACATGTCCCTGTCAATACTCAGTGGCACGTCCTCCAATGGATTTTCTAAATGATTTTGCAAAAAACCTAAATAAACCTCAGCAGTCTAAGTCTCTGGGAACTCAAACGGACCGATTATTTTACCATTTAAAATTCCTGTCCAATGGTTTATCTTGAAGCGATATTGAGATTTATCTTCTCTCATCAAATGTGGGTTTGCTACGTGCCACTCGTGTAAGTTATGCAGGTTCATGTACCCATCTTTCTTAAATGTGGTCTGACCATAAAATTTTTTCAAAGAACCGTGGATCTTCTCTGTGTCTTTCCGAAATTGTGCGACAAAAAGCAACTCGAGGCTCATAATCCCGGGGCAGAAGAGCTTGAACACGCTGTATGTGGTATGGATGGAGCACGTTTTTTTGCAAGATTCTATGGGCTGTACTTTTGGGCACACCTGTTTTTAGTTCTATTGCACGCACTGAAGTACTCGGGTCTTCTTCGACAGCTCCTAGCACCACGTCTTCGTAAGGAAGGAAAGATCTTCCCTCACCGTGTGATTGGTTTGGTAGTTGGCCCTCTGAGAACAGTAAGCGGTGCACATTTGTGAACACTCGATGATCTGGATGACGAGTTGCATTCGGGTACCTCTCGCTGCAGCTCTAGCGTTGCATCTGCATTCCCCATAAATGAGGTGCATGTTAGCATATTCTTGTACAGTGTACACGGACATAGCGGCACTGCACAATCACACTATCAAAGATAGTCTAAGGAAAGCAAATGCTCTTTTGAAGAGCA